GGTGCATGTATGAATGAATTTTTCTAGGGTGGCGGTTCTCAGCCCTGGATGCACTTTATTTATTTTTTAGTTGCAGTTGGACACAATACCTTTATTTGACTTATTTATATGTGGTGCTGAGGATCAAACCCAGGGCCTCGTATGTGCTAGGCGAGCGCTCTACTGCTGAACCACAACCCCAGCCCCCTGGATGCACTTTAGAATCCCCCGGGAAAGCTTTGCAAAAAACACTGCTGCCTGTCCGCCCTGCTCCTAGAGTCTGATGTGATTGGTCTTTGGAAGGGAAACCCAGGCACAGGTGATTTTGAAAACTACTCAGGTAATTCTAATATGCAGCCAGCTAAGAATGCCCAAGTGATCCCACCAGCACTGTGTTCTCACCTGGCCACAACCTCGCCCCTCCCCGTTCCCAACAGAGGTGGGCAGCTGTAAGGCTGTCCCACTGTCCCCCAGGAGCTCCCCCTCTCCTCCAGCCCAACAGCCAAGGTGCTTCCAGCAGTGGGGATTCTCCCCTCTGCCCTGCTGGACGCCACCTACAAGGCGTAATCCTGCAACCCAAGGGCGCCTCGCTGGAGCAGGTCTGCGATTCCCCTTTTCTTCCTCCACACTTCGAAGCCCTTCGGACCCTTGGCTGCCCCTCACCCTAAGGAAGACACAGCTCRCTCACCCTCGATGCCCATCCCACCTGCTGCTTTTGAATATTTCAGAAGGGGGACAGGCAGAATTCTAAATGCATACCAGCAGATTCTGAGCCAAAGACTTTAAAGGGTCATCAGGTGATTGGTGGCAGCAGGTCACCCTTCTGGTCTGTTTCCTCAAATGCAAACGGATTAATTTGGTGATCATCTGAGACCACTTTTTGGCTTCAATATTGTGAGCTTGAAAAAGGTCAAAACCTGCCCTCAAAATTGTGGTCTTCCAAAGTCAGAGAAGAGTCCCCTTCTCTGTCCCCTCACAGGGCAGAGCTGCAGCCAGGCTTCGAGGCCCAGATGTGCACTGTTCAAAGGCAAGSCCTCTCTGGTCACTCTTGGTCCCAGCTGAGCTGGCTCCCTGCTGGGCCCCATGGACACGGTTCTCCCTGACAGATTTGCTCAACCCATCCTAAGAAGCTCTYTGGCTTAGGATCTTGTCCTCAACCTGGAGGTTGAGATGTCTGTCCRTTGTCTTGGCAACTGCAGCAGAAGCGACTAATGATGGCTCTGTAGCTTGATCAACACATCAGTGTTAGTTTCTTGATGCTGTGTAAATAAATCACCACACGTAGCTGCTTAACACACCTGTTTATTATCTTCTTCTCATTCAACTTCTCCAGCATCAAACAAGCATCTGTTTTACTTTGCAGTGCTGGGGAGGAAACCAGGGCCTTGAGCATTGCAGGTAGGTGCTCTGCCACTCAGCTACATCCCAGCCCTGTTCCCAGTCTCTGTCTGAGGTCCAGGCACAGAAGGCTGCTATCAGGGCATGGCAGGCTGTGCTCTCACCTGGAACTCCAGCTCTTCAAAGGACCGAGGTGAGGTCCCCATTTTCAYGAGGACTGTGTGCTYGGGACTTGTCTGCACTAGGAGTTTCTTGYCCCACGGGCCTCTCACACTGTTGTGCTGATCCCTACAAGGTGGGTAAGGAAAGCTCTTCCTTCTCTAAGTTCTTTTAAAGGATCAACTGTGGGCAGGCTCATTCAGGATAATCTTCCTTTTCATTAAATCCATCAGGATTTTAAGTATCTCTGCAAAATCCTTTTACTTTTGCCACAGAACCTCACCTARTCCCAGAAGGGAGATTCTAGWGCATTCACAGGTCTTGCTCAAACTCAAGGTCACACAGGGCAGGGGCCAATGGTTGTCTCCAAASTCTGCCTCCCACAAAGGATTTGGAATCCAGCTAGAATTTAGTCACAGCCATAACTCCAGCAGTGTGGACCAGGGTCAGCAAAAGCAAACTGAGAGAATCAACACTTTTTAAATCCACACAATCTCTTCAAATATTTGGCAAGATGGATTCCCAGATCTCTGTGGGTGGGTCATGAGGAGAATAAAGGGGTCTCTTGCTCAGAGACTTCAGTTGGTTTAGAGTGCTCTCCTACTTCTCT